CCCTCCGACAGTGCGGCGCCCCCTCAGCACCGACCCTCCGACAGTGCCCACTCCCTCAGCACTGACCCTCCGACAGTGCCCACTCCCTCAGCACTGACCCTCCGACAGTGCGGCGCTCCCTCAGCACTGACCCTCCGACAGTATTCCTCACCACTCGGGAGAGTCCCATCTGGATTATGGACTCTCAGTTTCTGTCTCGGGATTCGGGTGGTGACAGATTGCCCCACGTAGAGAATGTGTTCTGATGTGGAGTGACCCCGGTGACTGTGAACCAGTGACCCGAGGCTGGCCCTCAGCGAGTTACACTGCTGTGTCCCTGAATGATAATGTCCCTGTGTGTGTGTGTGTGTTTGTGTTTGTGTTTGTGTGCGCACTGAAAGCAGTGCCCTGGGGTCTCATTGGGCTGTCTGCAGGGAGACAGTCAGATTATTCTGTTTAAAGTCACTCTTACTGTTTCTGAATTCTCACGCCACAGTCATCGGTGCAGGATGCGACAGAACTGGATCTACCCGAACCAGCCTTCCTCGCGGCCAGTTCCTTTGTCAATGTGAGCCAGCAGACCAGGAAGAGACTGTGGAATGATAATGCGACTGAGATCAACAGACTTACTCTCTCTCCCAGCCTGCGGTGTCTACCTCACTGGCCGCTGGCTTCACGTGAGACAGAGTCTGAAATACAGCCCCCAGTATTGAAGTAAGTTCTTGATTGCCCTCCCATTGTATTTCCCCATCCCTCTCTGTTTGGCTCCCGCTCCCCCCGCCCCCAGCTCACCCTGTAATCACGCAGCTGTACCCCTCGGCTGACCTGAATTCTTTCAGAACATGTCCATTTGAAGGTGGCACAGGAACCGGGGGGGGAAATCCGGGGCAACAGACCACAATTTGTTGCGCTGCAGACGTTGAGATGGCTCGTTCAAAACAAAACAACTTGAAGGATTGTAGCAACTACAAAACAGTGAAAGACCAGATAGCCCCTATGCTGGCTCCTTGAAAAAATATTCCTATTTAGTCCCACATCCCTGCCTTTTCTCCATAACCTTGCAAATTCTCCACTAAAGTCTGACAAGTCTTTAACTGTGATGGATTGCATCCCAGGATATTGAAGGAAGTAGCTCCAGCAACAGTGGAGGCAGTGTTAGTAATCTTCCAGGTATCTTTAGTTTCTGGCAACGTTCCAGAGGAAGAAAACTGTCAGTGGAAGACCTTCATGTAAAAAAGAAAGGAGACAAACTATAGGCTAGTAAGATTCGCATCTGTTATTGGGAGAATATTTGAGTCTATGAGGAAGTGTATAGCAGAGTATTTAGAAATGCATAATATGATCAAGTAGCATCAGCTTGGCTTCACAAAGGGGAAAGCATGCCAGACAGATTTATTAGAATTCTTTGAGGTGGCAACATATAGGATAGATAATGGACAAATACTGGATGTAATATATTTGAATTTTTGGAAAGTGCTTGATAAGTTACTGCACATGAGACTACTTAATAAGAGAGCTCATGGTGTTGGGGGTAGTATATTAGCAGGGAAAGAGGTTTGGCTAACCGATAGAAAACAGAACAATTGATCCAGCCATGCAGATGAGAGTGTGAATAATTGGAGAGCTCTATCAAAGAACGAGTGCCTGCACAAGGGGCTGGTTTATTGACTTTGACGAGATGGTGGAGAACTACCACGTTCGACCACTGCAGCCCTTTAGTTCCTGGATTCTGATCCAGCGACACTGAAGGAACGGCGATATATTTCCAAGTCAGGATGGGGAGTGGCTCGGAGGGGAACTCGCAGGGGGTGGTGTTCCCATGTATCTGCTACTCGGTGCGAGAGGTTGCTGGTTTGGATGGTGCTGTGTAAGGAGCCGAGGTGAGTTGGTTCTTATAGATGGTACCTTAAGCTGTCACAGTGCATTGGTGGAGGAAGTGAATGTGTGTTGAGAAGTGAATTGCATTGGAGGCTCTGTTTCCTTAGAGTGGAGTTTATTGACAGAGCAGTCACACATCTCTTTTACCCCTCAGTGCCACCTTTTTGCCCTCAATATCTACATACCTATTTAACCAATTAATCCCAGGCAGCAGCTTAACCCTTTTTGTATTAAAAAACACAATTAAGAATCCACTGCTGACCATGAATCTACTGTCGATTGTTAGAAAAACCCACCTGGTTCATTAATGTCCTTCAGGGAATGCAATCTGCCATCCTTACCTGGTCTGGCCTACATGTGACTCCAGACCACAGCAATGTGCTTGACTCTCAGTTGCCCTCTGAAATGGCCTAGCAAGCCATTCAGTTATACAGAGTCTGAAATGAATGAAACCAGACAGATCACCTGGCATCGACCTAGGCACTGGAAAAGGCAATGGCAGAAACAGCCCTGTCAACCCTGCAAAGTCCTCCTCACTAATATCTGGGGGCTAGTGCCAAAGTTGGGAGAGCTGTCTCACAGACAAGTCAAGCAACAGCCTGACACAGTCATACTCACAGAATCATACCTTACAGACAATGTCCCACACACCACCATCACCATCCCTGGATATGTCCTGTCTCACCGGCAAGACTGACCCAGCAGAGGGGGTGACACAGCAGTATACAGTCAGGACGGAGTTACTCTGGGAGTCCTCAACATTGACTCTGGATCCTATGAAGTTTCATGGCTTCGGGTTAAACGTGGACAAGGAGACCTCCTGCTGATTACCACATACCGTCCTCCCTCAGCTGGTGAATCAGTACTCCTCAATGTTGAGCAACACTTCGAGGAAGCACTGAGGATGACAAGGGCACAAAATGTACTCTGGGTGGGGGATTTCAATGTCCACCACCAAGAGTGGCTCGGCAGCAGTACTACTGATCGAACGGGTCGGGTCCTAAAGGACAAAGCTGCTAGACTGGGTCTGCGGCAGGTGGTGAGGGAACCAACAAGAGGGAAAAACATACTTGACCTCATCCTTACTAATCTCCCGACTGTATCTGTCCATGACAGTATCGGTAAGAGTGACCATCACACAGTCCTTGTGGAGATGAAGTCCCAACTTCACATTGAGAACAACCTCCATCGTGTTGTGTGGCACTATCACCGTGCTAAATGGGACAGACTTCACACTGATCTAGCAACTCAAGACTGGGCATCCATGAGGCGCTGTGGGCCATCAACAGCAGCAGAATTGTACTCCAGCACAATCTGTAACCTCATGGCACAGCATACTCTCCACTCAACCATTACCATCAAGCCAGGGGATCAACCCTGGTTCAATGGGGAGTGCAGGAGAGCATGCCAGGAGCAGCACCAGGCATACCTGAAGATGAGGTATCAACCTGGTGAAGCCACCAAACAGGAATACTTGCACGCCAAACAGCGAAAGCAGTAAGTGATAGACAGAGCTAAGTGATCCCACAACCAATGGATCAGATCTAAGCTCTGCAGTCCTGCCACACCCAGTTGTGAATGGTGGTGGGCAATTAAACAACTCACTGGAGGAGGAGGCTCCACAAATATCCCCATCCTCAATGGTGAAAGAGCCCAGCACATCAGGGCAAAAGATAAGGCTGAAGCATTCGCAGCAATCTTCAGCCAGAAGTGCCGAGTGGATAATCCATCTCTCCCTCCTCCTGTGGTCCCCAGTGTCACAGGTACCAGTCTTCAGCCAATTCGACCCACCCCACGTGACATTAAGAAACGGTTGGAGACACTGGATACTGTAAAGGCTACGGGCCCCATCAACATTTTGGTAAATCTGGTATGTGCTTGTGAGAGGCTGGTGAGGGCAGTGGGCGCAGCTGGTTCACAGATAATAAGGTGTAGAGCTGGATGAACACAGCAGGCCAAGCAGCATCAGAGGAGTAGGAAGGCTGACGTTTCGGGCCTGGACCCTTCATCAGAAAAGCTGGTTCACAGTCTGTTACTCTGTTTAAAACAACAATTAACCAGCAAGTGGCTTATCTTCCCATCTTTTCATCCTCTCAGGAAGGAGAAGAGACAGGAGCATGACCCCTGCACCTCTCAGAATTGGGTTGACAGGTAAGTGCTGACTGACTGTGGGGCAAGACCTGTTATCCCAGAGGAATCCTGTGCTACGGTCCCTCGGCTCTCTGTCCAGTCTGTTTCCAGAAGGAAACTGAGATAAGTCCATGAGCAAGGGGTCTTGGAATCTCAAGTGGAAAACAAATAACAGATTTCCGTTTCTGTAGCACTTTGCAAATCCCCAGAACGTCCCTGAGTACTTCAGAAGTACAGTCACTGTTATAGGAAACATGCCACCAATGCGTGCATGGCAAGATCCCACACACAGCAAAATGATAATGTTCAGAGGAATAAATATTGGTCAGACCACGGAAAAATACCACCCTGCTCTTAAAAAAAAAAACAGTGGCTGTGGGATTATCACAACCACTTTAAGGCAAACAAGGCCTTATCCCCTCTGACAGTACGGCAGTCCCTCAGCACTGACCCTCCGACAGTGCGGCACTCCCTCAGTACTGATCCTCCGACAGTGCCCCCTCCCTCAGCGCTGACCCTCTGACAGCGCGGTTCTCCCTCAGCACTGACTCTCCGACAGTGCCACACTCCCTCAGCACTGACCCTCCGACCGCACGGTGCTTCCTCAGCGCTGACCCTCTGACCGCACGGCGCTCCCTCAGGACTGATCCTCCGACAGTGCGGCGCTCCCTCAGCACTGACCCTCCGACAGTGCCCACTCCCTCAGCACTGACCCTCCGACAGTGCGGCGCTCCCTCAGCGCCTGCACTGGTCGTTTGTGGTACATTTGCTGAAGAAACGGAACCCACGAGCTACTAGTTTGGAGACAAGATGTGAATTGTTTACCATGTTGCTGTGGTTCAGCTCCTGTGTTGAAGTGTCAGATAGGGATCAGACTGGGCTAATTTCAGGAATTGTTGCATGTAGTAAGGAAACTGGCGTAGCTCCTGATTTGAATTCCGTCTGTCTCTGCAGATCCCAGCCGCCCATGTTAAAGCGGGAAAGCCTGGAGAAGACCAAAAGTATGGAGTTTGAGAATCATTGAATGGCAGACTGGGGAGCTGGGATTGATGTCCAGTGCGGGTGGATGTTCTGGTCTGGTCTCTGTGCTCGGTGTCAGCATGCTGCGTATAAACCCTGTCAGACCTGTTTCTATTGCACAGCCTCCACATTCCCCAAGCTGTCAAGGTGTATCGTATTGCTGCTGCCGTAGGCTTGTGTGAACTTCAGTCTAACTGCGCTGACACTGGCTTCACTGCATCGAATGCTGAGAATAGAGAAGGTTTATGCTGCCTGACCTCAATGCTCTGTTCTGAAAAGCTCAACGAGAAAAGCTTTTTGACTGAAATCGTTGCAAGTCTTGAGATGGTCTGACCGGAGGTTATGTGTTCATTCGAGCTCCTGTTTATATGATGGGGAATGGCTGAATGAAGCTGATTAATTCATGGGTGACAGTCCAGCTACCAGTCATTTAAAACTGCAAAACAAGAGAGACTCAACTGTCCTGTTTTGGATCAGAGATAGTAGGAACTGCAGATGCTGGAGAATCTGAGATAACAAGGTGTAGAGCTGGATGAACACAGCAGGCCAAGCAGCATCAGAGGAGCAGAGAGGCTGACGTTTTGGGCCTAGACCCTGCTTTAGAAAAAGCAGTTCAAGAAGGCAGCTCACCACCACCTTCTCAAGGGGCAACTAGGGACGGACAAGAAAGGGTCTAGGCCGGAAACATCAGCCTTTCTGCTCCTGTGATGCTGCTTGACCTGCTGTGTTCATCCAGCTCTGGACCTTGTTGTCCTGTTTTGGAGTTCTCTGATCTCTGGTATCGATTTGTTTGAATTTGCATTTTGTTAAAATGATAGAGCAGGTTGTTGCTGGGAGCGAACGACAGTGTTCCCTGGAGGGAGGTGGTTACTAATGTCTTTGCACTATATTACCATGAGGCCCTTTCTGCCTTAAGGTGACTGTGATAATCCCACAGCCACTACTATTTAAGAGCAGGGTTTTTTAAAAAAAAAATCCCTTTGATCATTATCACATTGCCGTGTGTGGGATCTTGCTGTGCAAAATTTGGCAGGCTTGCTTCCTAAATCATACCAGTGGCTGCTTACTAGTGTTCAAGCGAGGTTTAAGAATTATTTCACTAATTGATGCCTCCTGGTTCTGGTGTCTGAGATGACAAAAGGCTGGAATTTATTGTACCAAAGATTGCTGCTCTGTGCCTTTTGTTCTCCATAAATCCCATTTCTGCTTTACACTTTGTTGGCACAGTCACTGGTGCCTATTCTGTTTGAGGTTATGTTTATGGAGGTAGGAAGTGGAGGAGGCCATTCAGCCCCTCCAACCTGTGGTAATGAGGTCACGGGTGATCTGAATATCAACTCTGTTTACGCACCTTAACACCACATCTCTTCAAAATCCATCACTGCATATTAAAAACGTTTTTTTCTCTGCAGCTTTCTGGGGAGAGTTGCAGATTTCACACCACCTTTCAATGTGTTTCCTGATATCATCCCTGAATCAACTGCCTCTAATTTAAATGTTTTGTCCCCAATTCTTCCCCACCCCCAACCCCTAACCCCAAGGGAAGTGCTACCTCTATCTCTGCTGTTAACTCTTAATCACCTTTAAACACCTCAAACCATTGCTTCATGTTTTATGTACAGGGGAATGGAAAATTGATCTGTGCAGCCGGTCTTGTTCTGGGAGATTTGGCAACTCTGGTTTGCTGCTTTCCCTTAAAATGGTCACTTCTCTTCTGGTTTTCACCCCCTCCCCTGACCTCGGGGGCTGCATAGGAAGAGCCCAACAATCCTACTCTGGAATCGTGAGATGAGGAAAAGAAGCCTTGGAGTGTCCATTTCACTTCCTACCATCCTGGTAACTGGTAGGCCCATGAAACAACGATAACTGAGCTGGAACTGATCACAACGGTGAGTCTCCAGCATAGAGTCGACAGCAGAAGCAGACACAACGTGAGGAACCGTTCTCCTCCCATCTCCCTGTGATGGAGAGAGTCAGAAATCAAGTCCAAATTCATCTGAACTTGTCTGAGCGACATTCCGTCATGTCAGCTCCTTTTCTGAAGCCCTCAGTCACACGAAGTGATGTTTAACTGCTGAATCTCCTCTGCCTATCAGAGGAGTTTAAGGAGGGGATAGATAAAGGACAAAATGTGTTTAGTCTGAAAGTTCTGAGGACGATTCAACTTCTGCAGGTCTGGGGCTAGTTCTGAGTGTTTCATAATGTCCTTAAGGGATGATCAGCTGCAGGGGGCTTCACAGCACAGCCTGATCGTGATTTGGGGGTTTTGTTCGTGATTATATTCTGGTGATCAGAGGCAGGAGTTCCAAGTGACATACATTCCATCACCAGTCTTTAGCACAAGATCGTGGGGATGAAGGGCAGTGAGGACCCTGGGTATGGAGTTTAAAAGGTTCGGGGGTGGTGGTGGTATCTGATTGAAACTTACCCAGAGCGCTGGGTAGAATGGATGTGAAGAAGATGTTTCCACGTAGGAGAGACTAGGACCTGAGGGGATAGCCTCAGAATAAAGGAGTGATCCTTTAGAATTGAGATGAAGAATTTCTTCAGCCAGAGGGTGGTGAACTTGTGGAACTCATTGTTGCAGAGGGCTGTGCAGGCCTAGTCATTGAGTGTATTGAAGACAGAGATAGATTGGCTCTTCATTAGTAAGGGAATCAAGAGTAACAGGGACAAGGTGATGGCTTAGTGCTATTATTGCTAGACAATGGAAAGTGTGCAAAGAAGATTTACGAGGATGTTGCCAGGACAAGCAGGCCTGAGTTAGTGGCCAGGATAGGAATTTATTCCTTGGAACTTAGGAGAATGGGGGTGGTGACCATATTGAGGTGTATAAAATCATGAGGGGCATAGATAGGATGAATGCATATATCTTTTTCCCAGGGATGGGGAATTGTAAACTAGAGGGTTTAGGTTCAAAGATAGTAGGAACTGCAGATGCTGGAGAATCCGAGACAACAAGGTGCAAGGCTGGATGAACACAGCAGGCCAAGCAGCATCATAGGAGCAGAGAGGCTGACGTTTCGGGCCTAGACCCTTCATCAGAAAAGGGGGGATCCCTTGAGGTTTGTCCGGAGGGAGGAGGGTAACTTCTTCAGGTTAGGCATCCTTAGAAGAGGCTTCGCAGTGGGGTTAAAATTGAATCAGAGATAGTAGGAACTGCAGATGCTGGAGAATCCGAGACAACAAGGTGCAGGGCTGGATGA